ATATAATATACTGCTTTTTGTATATAATATGTGTAATTATTAAAATTAAAATACTTATAAATTGTACAATTAATATTGCAATAAAAAATATTAATCACTAGATTTAAATACTAGGTTTAAATATTTATATTAAATAACTAGCAACGTTAGCAGCAATTGAGAGTAAAAACAGTTGGTAATATCAGTGCTCTTTAATTATTTTCATAATAAGTAATGTATGTATTTTATGATTGTGTGTGTGTGTTGCGGAACATATTACATATATGTATATTAGACAAAAAAAATTTCTCATCCTTTTCTATATCTTTTAAGATAAACTCAACATAAAAGAAAATAGTGTTATATAATAATTTCTACCGATTCTTTAATTATAAACAATAAAAATAATATAAAAGACTAGAGTCACATTTAATCACATTTTCTTAATATTCTTTTTCCTGAAGCGACACATACACACACAATGTAATTAATAACAAAATAAATAATGAATTACTCACTGTGATTGCTGCGTAGTCATTCAATGCCTCGCCTGGTTCTCCTCCTTTTTCGCTCTTGTTCCTCCTTGATCCTTCATGGCACTCACTCGCGAGATTACACGGTTAATTATGAGATTGCCTGTGTACTAATTATCAGAATAAAACAATCGCGCGATATTTTACACGGCACTCCCGACCGTACGCGACGCTCACTTTACTACTGTTACGACGAAAAAATAACACGGAAAGAATAAATTTGCACAAAATTTCGAGCCGTTCGATATGCGCGACGCTTCGCAAATAATGTGGACGAACGGTGAAGGAAATTCGAAAATCGCGCGGCTAATTTCACGCGGCATCCGCGGCACCGAGGCTGCATCTGTTGACAAATAATGTACATATATATTATTACGCTATATCTCGTATTCATTATGCCATAAAAATAAATAAATATGTGAGTTAAGATTAGAAATAATATTCGCGAAATACAAGATGCGAAAATGTGGTCGTCGATTTTGCCGATAGATTACGCGGCCGAATAATATCTCGCAAATTACGAACTTTATCAAATTATCGATTTATGACAACTAAAGGTCAAACTCATGTACTATATGCCGAGCGAATATTACAATACAGAACTAATTAGAAGTGTATTTTACTTACAAAATACATCGCAACGCTGCTCGGAATCCATCCGTTCCGTATCGGCGGCATTTTACTAATGGTTGGCGGTTGGCGGCAACTTCGTTCTATTACGTCACGATACTACGTGAGTCGAGTTAATGATGCGTATATTTTGTTCGATACAGTCACTATCTCGATACATCTATGACTTGTTAAAAGAGCGAGTCAATTAATCGCGCCGCTAATTGTTTATTAGCAATAATCTCATTTGAAACGCGGACAATAATATGATACGCGGAGCGGCCCGTGTTGTTATCTTGCCGACTCGAGTCTCGAGAGTGTCTCGCGTCTCGCTCTCGCCGAACGAACGACAAACCAAGGCCGCGACGCGTCGCGAAGTATGTACAGACGTAAACAATAGCGCGCATGTATACATCGCAATCATAGGACGCCACAAAATCGTCATGCCAAACATTCCGCGTGTGTGTATATGTTCGCAACATTGCATATTAATTTCAATAGGCTATTATTGTACATTTTGTTTTGTAGCCAGCCGTATCACGTTGCTATTAGCAACATAACACTAGTATTGTTAGATGGGTTCCCTTTTTCGCGCGTGCGTCGTGACGTAATGATGACGTTTACAGTCACGTAACATGTAATAGATACTTTAATTTTAACGGGATCTCATAAAGTCATAGAGGAAAAGGTAAATAGCTACGTAAATAAATAAATTAAACAATATAATTTGTGAATATTATTTTTCTTATTTCATGTTTTTAATAATTATTCAAAAATTTTTAAATAATTTATAAGAACGATTAAATGGGGCTCATATAGGATCTCATTTCACGAGATCATTCAATGCGCATGCGCGAAAAAGGGACACCCAACAACTAACATTGTTTCTAACTTTCTAAAATCGCATCAAATCGCATGCGACATGCGATAGGATAAGTACAATACATTTCAGAACGTTCTAGTCCTACGTTGAGTTAAGTACTGTACTGAGGGCAAGAAGAATCGCACCACGTGCTTTACAAGAGAGATAGGCATTTGAATTTGAGAGTGAATAATTGAAAATAATTTAATCAAGACATATAAAATTTTTTATATATTGATTGTGCCTTTTTATACAAGTTAATCAATTCTATATATAAGAGAAAAAATGTTGGATTTGGAGCACACGAAATTGGAGTAAGTACGAAGTTGGAAAATCTTGTAAAAGAATATAAATCTCTCTGTTCGTTTGCTTGCACTTTTTAGAATCGAAAATAAATATATATTTGGGGAGAGAAAAATAAAGAATTTGAGTGTAAATTGAGAGAAAAATGTAGTCTAAACACGTGGCTCGCAAGTACACGTAGTGGCTCATTTTTCTCTAATCTAACCCTAATCTAAAAGATGTTAAAAACGCGATTTTAACTGATCTCAAGACTTGAATTTACGCTCTGTAGAAATATGAAAAGAAGGAGCATTTAAATTTTTTTTTTTCGTCGAGATAAATGTGGCGATCTAATAAAAGATTACAGAAAATGTAATCTTTTTCTCTTCTCGTGCTCGTTAATTTATCGAATCTAAAATTCTTAATGTAAGCAAAACGGACAAGCTTTGTATCTTATTAAATAAAGGATAATTATTTCTTTTATATACTAGGGAGGAAGAGCATAGTACTATTATTCGGGAATGTGATGATTCGTTAAAAAAACTCCAAGATGACATAGATCTTTGCAAAGTAAGTTGTTCTTTATGACAAAACTTATTTAATATTAATGAGTAACATCTATTTTAATTATATTTTGCATTTTAAGTACTCGTTTATGTAATAATAACTTTGATAAATATTTGATGAAATGAATATTTTTGTAGACACAACAAGATGACATTCGTTCTGAGATTCAAGCTTGCCATGTTGCAAGCATAAAAAGCACTAATACCATACATGATCTTTTCTCACGTATATATTCATCACGTGTACATTTGGAACATTGTTGCAATAAAGATTTGCAAAATAAAGCAATCACAAATTTGAAAGAGCAAATTGCAATTTTGAAAACAGAAAAGGATTCTACACTTCAGATGGTGGAGATGTTGTTGAAAAATACAAATGCATTAGAACAAAGATTAGAAACTAAACAAATAGATAGCTATCAAGTAAAATTGCATGAGGAGCAATTGGAAATTGTTAAACGATCATATTCTGAAGTTATAAAAACTTTAGAGAATAAGTTGTTTAAAGTTAAAGATGATTTTGCAAAGCAACAATCTCTCTCGATGAAAAGTAATGATACAATAGAAATATTAAAAAGAGAGAAACAGGAAATGGAAAATAATCTTCAGGATCTTCAGCAAACTACTCAACAGAAAGGTAAGCTATTTATCTAATATGGATAATTTATCTAATTTGGATATAAAATGTAGTATATAGTATATCGGTAATTTTATTTAACAGATAAGAATAACCAACATATAGTACAATCATTAACGGAAGAGTTGTCTGCCGCAAAAGCAGAAATACAGAGACTAAATCATTTAAACTCAAATTCAGAGAAAAAATTGAATGAGAACAAAAAAATTGTCAATAATGTTATAGCAAAGAATGAAGAAACGAAATGTAAGCTGGCCGAAGCTCTTGATTTAATAGAATATGCGATAAAAGAGAAAGAAGTTGTGCTTGAGAGAGAAGCAAAACTTGCGGAGCAAAATGCCAAATTGGAAAGTCAATTGGCTTCTATTGCCAAAGAACATGCGATTAAAATGCAAGAGGAGATTGCAAAATTGACAGATATTCATGAGCACGATATGAAGAAATATTTATTAGAAATTAAAGAGTTGAAGTCAGAATTGCGAGAAAAGGTGATGTTATTGGACCGATCGCAAAGAGAGAATAGATTAATAGAGGCGGAAATGGAGAATGAGCGCCAATCTACTGCAGATTTACTGGAAAAATCAGCCTCCAAAATGCTTGAAAGAATATTTGACCAAACACCTAAACATGCAGATTCCAAAACTTGTAACGAGACGTGCAAGTTACTATATAGTTCAGAAATACAACGATTACAGGAGAAAATTGCTAATTTGGAAGAAAACTTAACAATTTCGAATGATCATCTGAAACAAAGTCAGCAACAAAAGCCTATAAATCCTATAAATGTAGATTGCATAAAATTAGCTGAAGAAAGAACGAAGGATGCAATCGACCGTTATGTTCATTTAGAAAGCCAATTAATTAAAGCTACGAATGATAAGGAATCTCTCACAACTAAATTAAAATCATTGCAGTTGGATTTCGATTGCGAGTTACGTAAGAGAGATTATAAACGACGTATGTTGGAAAATAAGATCCGCGAATTAGAAATGGATCTTCACAAGGAAAAATGCACAAGAGAGAATAAATCAGGCACTAATATTAGTCCAGTACAAGTTTCCTCTCAACATTGCGAGGATACAGTGAATAAACATACTTTGGATATACGGTAAATTATTTTATTTCATATCTTAATGAACATAATGTATCTATAGAAAATAAATAACTTACTTTTTTAATATATGTTTATAAAAATCGATTTTTTCCAGTATTGAAGCTATAGAAGACCAACGGCAATCTTTATTAGATGAGAAAATAAAGGTGCAACAAGAACGTTTTGACAAAAAAATGGAAGAGATGAAATATCAAGTAACAATTTATCAAGATTTAAATAAAAAGTAATAAAATTTATATAAATTTATTATATTATCTAAAAAGTATTTGATTAATAATAAAATGTAATTTAATTCTGTTTTAAGTTGGGCTAATGAATCAAAATCTATGGCTGAAACATTTCAAGAAAAACTTAACGAACAACGTAAGCTAATATGTACATTGCGAAACAAAAATGCTGCACTGGGAAACAGACTCTTACTTTTGAATGACGAAAATGTATTTACATCAAATGCTATGCATGTGTGCGGGTTTGTACTATAAAATTTTAAAAATACAATCATAAAACTGGTATATGTTTTATAGTTCTTTCTTATTTTAGTTGGAAAAGATGCGAGACTAGATGACAATGTCTTATACTATAAAAATGGATTAATGAATATAAGGATAATGGATCTGATATACTCATAAATATTATAGGATAATCGATTTTTTTATTTAATAAAGAGATACAAATCTCAAGCAACATTAGTTTTTCTTTAAAATTTTTCCTACTTATCTGATAACAATATGTTGATAGGTTGATACAAAGTTTATTCTTTGGAGACAATGCAAGCTGTGAATAAACTGGGAAACCAATACAATATCTCATCTTCGCTTTGCTCATCTAACCAAGCCAATCCTTCCTTCATCATATGATCCAAAGCTTTCTGCGCTCTGTCCTTTTCCCATCTTAATTCTTTGCATAAAATTGATTTGGAGACATAAGCATTTGTGGATAAACTGGCCTGGCGTAATACTGCAGTATGATCCATGCTGAGTTCACCGGGTATTGACTGCACTAAATGTTTTCCTCTACCGATAGGAACTACAGAGAAGCCATTTCCAAATATCCTCAACTTCTTTGCGGCAGCTAACAGATCCTCATTAGTGATTTCCTGATGTTCCTTTCTGCGTCCTCTGGCTTGAATTAAGCGTGTTCTCAGCTCGTCTAATGATATCAAGCCACCATTCTTGTAATTTGTTGCCATGCATACTTCTACAATCTGGACAGCGAGTTCGTAATAGAAGTCACCGATACCCAGCACCGACCAGAATCCTTTGCCAGATGCCAGCGGATCCACACCTATGGAAGCGCACATTTCTGTGAATTGACGACGGAAACGCGCGTTCTTTTTTATCTCGTTTTTGTGCTTCGACGCGAATTCCTCTAAATTCACGCGAAACATCTCCATATGCTTCGTCATCTGCTCGAACTGGTTCTCCTGAATCTCTGTGCTCTTGTCCCGATATTTTTCCTGCTCCAATTTTTGCTTCTGTATCGCACCCACTCCCGCCTTTCGCCTCATTTTTTTCTGATCCGCGTTTTTCGATTATCAAAATTAAATTAAGTTTCTCGAAGGGATTTTGTTGATGTTAAATTATTCTCAAACTATGTATGTATGTGTATAAACTTTGTCATTTTTTCTCAAGTTTGATAGTTCAACTAACCTATTTCTTTGGAGAGTTAATAAGAACCATCACGCAACTTTGACACATGTCGAGGTTATGTCAATTATATTAAAGTTTTTAAAACTGTAGAAAAGTTATGATTCTTATGACACATCCGAGATAAAAGATTGATTATTTTGAAGTATACATAATTTATGTCAGGAGGGAGTGTGTGTGGAATATATTCTGATGGACCATTTTATCAACAAAATAAATAACTCATTATGAGAATTCAATAGACAAAGGTGGGATTAAATGACGTTCTCTTGATGCTAAACGATGAAGTACATCATTTTCGGCGAGAAAAGGTATATTTTCTATGGTTCGTCTTCGAAAGTTGCATCAATTGCACTTCCTGTATTTTAAATAAAATACATATTAACTATTTAATGTGCAAATTAGTTGGTAAACAAAGTTGTTATATCTATCGTTATAATAGTCAACAAAAATATCCAATCATCTTGAATAATAATTAAAAATTCAACAGTACTTTTGCAAGATAGATATAAAATACAGATGATGCTATAACAACATTTAAAAATCTATTTATTTACCTATTTATTTTCCACATTGAAGTTCTCAGCTAGAGAGTTGATTTAAAAAAGATCCCTTATAATAAAAAATATTATTGTTTCCTCGAAAAAAATAACATCTTCGAATCCAAAAATGTGTATGTATGTTGAGTTACGGATATATTCCAACTTTGGAGGGAGAAGAAAGAAAGGCAGACGAGAACAGAACGCGAGCAACTGAAATGAGAAGGGGGCCCAATGACGGAACCAGATGGAACTTTCGCGCCGCGCGCGCGCATCCTCGTCGGTCTCGTCCGAGGGAAACAGGAAGTTTCAGTGAGGAATCGTGTGTAGCGGCAAGCGCGACGACGATGCCGAGGTAGTCGTTTTCTTCCCGAGGGTCCCCTCCCCCTCTTCCTTCGGCCGCGAAATCGAAAAGGAGAGCACACACACGCGTTACGACATTACGCGCGCAGCCTGCTGTCAACCGGTGAACGTCTGCTGAAAGTCTGTTATGCCTAAAAATTTCTCTATCTTTCTCTCGCCCGATCCGATGTGTCGTCCCCGTTGAATAGGAGGTACGCGAACGCGCTGTTCGTCGACGGATCCTGCTTCCCGGTGCTGATGTGAACATGGAGGACTACAAGTTTCTCTTCAAGGTCGTGCTCGTGGGCAACGCCGGCGTGGGCAAGACTTGTCTAGTGCGACGATTCACTCAGGTACGTCAGATGACGTTTTCCCGATGATTCTCCGGATTCGGTTGGGTGAATCGAGGGGAAATAGATCTCGCTCGTTGATCTTCTCGCTTTAAGCTTCCTGGCACGCCAAGTTCACGCGCGGACGCGTTTCCTGGAAGAGTGGAAAGTTCATTATTTATTCATTGTAGAGATGATGTCATCTATATATGCAGAATACATACTCTTTGTATTTGTCTTTCCTATGTATATGTTACAATTTTTGGTTTTTTGTTTTATGTTATTTTCTATAGTATTGGCTAATGTTGCCTACTTTCTCTTACCTGATAAAATTCTTATGGATATAGCATACAATGAAGATAATCAGAATTGTGTACATGTATAGAAGCATATTTATGATTTTATTGAGTCTTTTAAAACTTGCAGGGTTTATTTCCACCTGGACAAGGTGCGACAATTGGAGTCGATTTTATGATTAAGACTGTTGAAGTAGAAAATGAAAAAGTCAAGGTATATATAGCTTAACATAATAAGTTTATTTATATATATATATATACATATATAGATTATTTAATTTATATTCTAATCTCTCTATTATCCTCTTTTTCAGTTGCAAATTTGGGATACTGCAGGTCAGGAAAGATTTCGTTCTATTACTCAGAGTTATTATAGATCGGCACATGCATTGATATTAGTTTATGATATTTCTTGTCAACCTACGTTTGACTGTTTACCGGATTGGTTAAGGGAAATTGAAGAATATGCAAGTAATAAAGTTTTAAGGATATTAGTAGGTAAGTGAGGAGATATAAATTAATAAGATAAAATCTCATGTAAGAATTATAATTTCATAAATATATGTTTTTGAACATTAGGAAATAAAATTGATCGAGAAGATAGAGAAATACCGACACATGTGGGTGAAGATTTTGCACAAAGACATGGAATGTACTTTTTAGAAACATCTGCCAAAGAGGCAGAAAATGTAGAAAGATTATTTATGGAGATAGCAGCTGAACTTATGGAAGTAAGTAAGCATATTTTATTTAGAAATATCTCATTATAGAGTACACATTTTGCAGTGGCTATGTATTATTTTAGCAAGCGCGAAGTAAGGAATTACCTCGATACGAAACGAATACCACTTCAATAAATGGTAAAACGACATCAATAGGTGATAGTAGTAATTGCGGTTGTAGTAGACTTTCTTAAGTAATTTTTGTATGTAATATTAAGCATATTTCAGATATTTTTAGTTTTATATATACACATACAACATGTATGTATATATATATATAAAACAATATACCTTTTTTTATAGACACGATTGAATATCAATATTTGATAACATAAAAACATCTAATACATCTTTAAAAAAGAGTGATACAGTGTTATTGTTTAGTGTTATATTATATGTTATGTTGCATTATACTATGTTGTAAGATATATTTAATATATAGCAGAGAGACAAGAGAATTTAAATATATTACTAACTTCTATAGAACATTAAATTTTTATAGATATATGATTAATTTTTTTATAGTGCAATTAATGCTCTAGTATCAAATATGTATGTTTTATTATCAATTTTTATTTTATTGAAGTAATACTGCTTGTGTGATGTTAAATTATTTAAGTATTTATTTTTATTACGCTGTAAAGAAATATGCATTTTACATAACTGCAGTATTTTTTGTTACTTTAAAAGTACAAATATTTATTATCATAATGTGGATTTTGGTAATTTGTCCAAAATCTTGATAATAATGACAATTTTATAAGACATTACACAAGTCTACAGTATATAAAGTTATTTTTAATGTGCAATATTTATATGTGTTTATCATACATACACATACACATGCTATTTTGAAAAGTTCACTATATGCTCATAATAGCATATTAAAATTGAAACATAGATGATATTTAACTCACACAGTACACAATCAATGAGAATTATTTTTTATGTTAATGAATAAATAAATTCTGTTCTATAATCTAAAGAGGATAGTGCAGAATGTATATGATATTATGATAAAATATCTACATGAATATTTATGTGATCTGATTTTTATTATATTTACATTTATGATTATAAGCAATGGTTAATTGTTAGTTATTCTATTTGTATCTTATAATGTTAAAATGTTAATTCTCATTTATGTTTGTACAGATTAAGATCTTCATTATATATACTGCTAGTATTGTACTAATATTTTGGCGCAGTGCTCTAGTCTCTCTTCACCGTTTTATTATATTTTATACACAATAATCACACATAATTGTTATAGATAATATACATATTGCTATAAATTATTTGTGACTGAAATTTTCAATTCTGTTGTTTAAATTTGTTCTTTTGGCGAGTTGATTTCAGCAATATTCACTTCTTTCACAGCAAAATAAGATTAAATTGAGGGAAATGAAACTATTACATATCTAATCTTTATTCAATACTCAACTGAATTTGCATTTACATGCATTAATAAATTCTACACAATTTTTGAAATAATACATAACAGATATATTTTGTACATAAAATTAAATGTATTTTATTTCTATTAATATTTACAATTTTTAAGATCTTTAAAATTCAGGTAAATTTATATAAACTGTTTAGCACATAGAATTATATTCCAAAGATTTTGTTATATATAATAATACTTTTTATATTACAATTATGGAATGTAAGTTATTAATAATGCATAATATAAATCACACAATTTGTAATAAAAAACCATATTGATCAAAATATATTTAAATATATTAACTTTTTTTTTTCTTTGTGTGTTATGGAAAAAGATGTGCAATGATATTATTATTATGTTAAATTTGTGACATCATTGAGGAAAATGTATAAATTTAATGTATAAATTATTTCATGTAAAATGCATTCTTCAAACAACGATATTATAAACACTATTTTTTGCCTTGTGACATAAAGAGCAGGAACCTGGAATATACTAACATGTTTAATATATTCTATACATGAAACGCTCGTTTTTTTTCTTTTTTTTTTTTGTCACGCATATATCTATTATATTTATAGTGAAGCAACTTAGAGAGAGAGAGAGAGATAACAAGTTATCTTTTAAAGCCGCCTAATGTCCTATTGTTATTTTTGTCGATTTCGATGACGCAAAAACTGCTAAAGTATTCAAATGACGCGTATTGTCAAAGTTACACGTTTCCCTCGCCATTAGAATTGGAATAAATGAGCATAATGCATGATTCTTTCAAATGTAAAAAACATGCTAATTTTTTTTATGAAAATTTTTTCAATGCAAATTTGATAAGATATATATGTATATATATATATATGTGTGTGTGTGTGTGTGTGTGTGTGTGTGTGTGTGTGTGTGTGTG